ATAGCCTTCAAATCGTTGGTCTTCCACTCAACCGTGGAGCGGTCGCTCACTTTGTTGAAATTGGGACTCTCTGGTCTGCGGAGCAGACCCTTGCAAGCGAGCTAAGTCCACATATTAGTGGAAGTAATTGTCTTTCACAAGCTTGTCGGTGGTGTCACCGTAGCTTGGGCTCATAACAAATTAAAAGATTGCGCGAGGCGCGTAGTGGATGGGAGCAGATGAATGGAAATTTGAAAGTGTGATTGATTCAGTTAGAAGTCTTAGCCCTACTTGTTCCTTCCTACCTATGCAGCTCCTAGTGCCCTCCTACTATAGCATGTCCATGTATAGAAATGGAATGCTAGGACGGGCATGTCTGCATAAAAATGTGCATATAAATCGTAATCTGTGAATGCCATATGTCTCGATTGTCCTCCCGCCTACCGCGGACGACTACCGGTTCATTTAGGCCGCCCGTAATCACTGGTCGTGTATTTCGCGGGACGTCGGAAAGTTTATGGGGAACTACATCTCTCTTAAGTCTCGAAACCAGTCTGGAAAGAATGCTGACGACCTTCTCGACGACACTCACGCGCTCTTTGATGCACAAGAAGACTATTCATTTGCCTTCGAATCCTGTTGGCAGCCTACGTAAGTCTCAGAAGTTCATGACAGCATTTTTTGCACTTCGGATGCAGAAAGCCGTGGTAATGGTGTGACTATGGAGGAAATGAACCGCCCCGAAGAAATGAAGAAGTCGAAACTTGCTTTGGCTGCTAATACGGAAGAATCAAGTCTCCTAAAATGACTCGTCCACGATAACAAAAAATAGAGATGTCAGAAATGAAACGAAAAAATGACCTCATTGAAGAGTAGATGACCATCGACTTGCTCAGACCAAGCATCAAATCGGACGAGTCGAAATCATTTTCCTATTTATGCTATCCTCGGAGGACCCAACCTACCAGTATTTAATAATAGTAGCGATGGTGAGTTCTATCCTGGTGGAGATAGTGCTGTTTTCGGCGGTGGCGGGGACAAAGAGCGCAGAAGTGAGAGACAAAACGGACTTGAAACACTTGTTGCCGGAGAGCAACAAGATGAAGGTGTTGTGTAAGCAGACCTCAAAGGCCCCGAGTAAATATAGCCTCCTCAACAAATATTGTATTTGTTGAAATCAAGATCCTATTCGCTCAATAAAAACATTGAGTATCAATGCGTACTATTCCAGCTCCAGTAATACCTGCAAAACACTTCGCGGAGTTTTTACTCGAATCTTCATCTGGTAGATTGTTCAGTCGATTGCACATTGCCATAATCGAACCCGTTCCAAGTGCTTCATTTTCTCCAGTAAGTACCTTTCGGATCTGTTCATGCACTTCGCGCTGTTCTGCAACGCTAGCAGTACCATAAGGATCGGGTAGGTATATTGTAATACCGTCTCTACAAATCTCAATGATCCTGTTTTGATGCAGCAGTAAACTCCATACTTCATTCGCTTTGGTACCACAGTCGTGATGGAATCGCAAGTACTCCAATGCACGATTTCAGAATACCGAATGCGCATTATTCATCTTTTCTCGTGAGAACTTTCTTGTTGCGATCATCGGGCTCTACGTATACAGAAAAAATGTTGACCATGGAGGGTACATACCATAAACAAAATAATACGGCGTGTCGTAGTCTTGTTCGCCAATCTGATTGAAAACGCGAGGACAAGTATCATCGAGAAAAATGTGTAGTAGTGGAGACCTCTCCTGCACGTTTATTTGACCTAGGTATACCAAAGAAAGTGTGCCAAATCCTCCGATCCGCAGTTGCAACTACTTCCAGAGCCACCTTCTTTTCTCCTTGGCGTTGTCCCTGCCAAGCCGTTGGATAGTTTTTCCTCCGCCAGTGACTGCAGTCAGAAGAGACAAGAAGACAATGCATTTCTCGACTCTCATTAAAGCGAAGGATCTTAGCAGCGTCATCAGCGGTTAGAGATCGTAAATAAATCTCACCATAAGGATCCACCACGGTTTTGCGATAAACGTGAAAGCTATCCATTACTATTTGACTTTGATATACGGCAGTATACATCATGTGCGTCCACAGGACTACCTCCGACTAGTATACGCAACACAGAAGTCATCTTCTATTCATGTAATGCACCATCCTTCCTACGGCGTCTGGTTTCTGCTGAAAATGATAGACTTTTATTTGGACCATATTCGGATCATCACATAAACGGTCAACTGATCAAGTTGATCCAAATCGTTGACCAGTCTGAAAGAAACTTGTATTG